CCCCCCCGCGTTGGAATTTCGAAAAATCCTTTCTTAGTGTGCGTTTCCATGACGTACCCTAACTGTGTACCAAATTTCACCTCTTTAGGTTAAGCGGTTTGCTCTGGGCGATGATGAATCAGTGAATGAATGAATGAATGAGTCAGTCAGTCAGGACAAGCAATTTTATATATTTAGATGACACATGAATGATTTATTGAGGGAGATGCCTCTCAGAAGGTCTTTTATGGAAAACTGGCTCCTATTTAGGTGTTACTGATGTGAAGAAAACCTGAAAAACTCCACATTACCAGCCCAATGGTGAGATACAAATCCACAAACAGCTAATAAGGTTTAGTGGTTTTAACCATTCAGCTACTGGTGAGCAAAAGTGGTTAATGATCAGATTTTAGAGGTCACACCACATTACTTTAAGCACTGCATATAAAACCAATATCTAGCAGGAACTACAAAATTTACAAAAGCAAATGTTTACACTCATGTTAAATGGTCATCTTAGCATGATTATGATTGTTTAACATGGGTGAAAACATCTACTTTCGTAGATTTTTGTAATTTCTGTTGAATATTGGTTTTATGTGTAGTGTTTAATTATATGTACCCAGTTAGAGTCATTGAATTTATATAACACTATGTATAGTAAACTGTTATTAAGATTAATTTCCAAAAAGTCTGGACATCTCATTTTTATTCTATTACTGACTTTATTTGCATAATTCTGATTTCAAAACAAAAGTTATAAGTATTAAGCTGGAAGATAGCAGATGTATTGCTAAAATAAACGATAATATTTATAATAATAATGATTAAAAAAAAAAATAGAACAAAAAATAAAAAATTCTGCATTCTGTTATTAAAACATAAATATCAAAACTGAATAAAAAAATAATTCCATTTATTATTGAAAGTATCCTAACTTACAGATTCAAAAAATGTATAATAATGATGAGAACAGAATATAAAATAAAATGTGTTGAAATAAATGTTTGAGGATGCTGCCAAAAGACAAAGCTAAATAGAATTAGCAATGAACAAATCCTATATTTGATAAAAATAAAAAGAAACATTGGAACAGAGAATGATAAATGAATAATATGGGATATACACATATAAAGAGTGATGCAAAATAGATGATCAATTATACGAGAATGATAATCACCAAGAAAAGAAGAGAGGAAACTTGAGTACAAAAGGATAAATGAGATAAAGTAATGAATGAGAAAAATACTTGAGATGTATATTGGAAGGATATTGAAAATTTGTGAAAAATACTATTTACATGCAAGTAATCTATGTGACAGAAAAAAATCTTAACAATAATGATTTTCTTAATCATTGTGTAATGAAAATATATTTCCACTAAAATCTTATTATATTCTCATTTAAATATTTAAACTATTCATATTTTTATGTTTATTCCTTAACATTAAGTAATAGCAAACATTCATAGAAAAAATATACTTTTTATTACTAGTCATAATAATACATATTATAATTATAAGAACAAACAATTACAATAACTTACCAGATTCTGCTACTTCTCCTACAGGCACTCCAAGTTCATTCGCCATAAAACCAAGAACAGAAAAGATAGCAAAGCCAGCATATAAACTTGTTCCACTATTCAAACTGGCTATGATGATGCATTGTCTGAAGAAGCAGGATTTTGTTATTTAACTTGAATATAAAAAATATTTAAAAACTCAAAAAATTAATAGCAATATATTTTTTCTAGGAAAAGTTTGTGAAGTATTCTGAATTTGGTTTAAATTATTTGATTTTAATATGTTGTGTTTATGTATTTTAACAGTAGTAAGATTTTAAAAATGTTAATGTTGTTTGTTTTTAACCTTAAAACTTTATGTATGTAGAATTTTAATAACAACTTTGATCTT